TATTGATCAACTTTGTTGTCAAGATTGAGGTTCATCAACATGCCAGTGGGGGTCAAGATGAATTACCNCTTTGTTCACCAAAGACCCAATTCAAGTGCCTTATTTACAGGCCGTGAGGATGTTCTCAAGAGGCTGATGGATCACTTTTCACCTCAAGATCAAGTAGATAGAAGCAGGAAGTCTTTTTTGTTGTATGGTATGGGGGGTATTGGCAAGACACAGATTTGTTTGAAGTTTGTTGAAAAGATGGCTGAAAGGTAAGTCTCTTCACATACTATATTTTTGATTTTCTGACAAGTACATCTAGATTCTCTCATGTTTTCTGGATTGATGCATCTTCTGAAGATACTATTGCTCTTGGTTTAAAGGGTCTTTGTTCTCATTCTGATGCTAAAGCTGCTGGTATTTCTATGTCCTCTCAGTCTGCTCTTCTCTGGATTGGATCTCTGCAGAGTGGATGGCTGCTTGTGTTTGACAATGCTGATGGTGCACCTGAAGTAGTAGAAAAATTTATCCCATCTGGTTCTCAGGGCAATATTCTGGTTACTAGCAGAAATCGATCTCTTGGGCGGGTTACATCTTATGAAAATTCTCTTGAAGTTAATCAGATGACTGAAAAGGAAGCCATATCACTCTTGCTGAAAGCCAGCCATCTAACTGGCCATTCTGAAGATGTTTACAACATAGCTCAACAAATTGTAAATGAGCTCTGCTGCTTGCCTCTAGCTGTTGATCAAGCTGGAGCTTCCATTGAAGCTGGTCTCTGTAGTATTGATAATTACCTTGAGCATCTCTCTCGACATAGGAACAAGCTTATGAACCACCCTTCATTTAGGGGTGCATCTCAGTACAATCGTACAGTCTATGAAACATGGGATTTGTCATTCAATGAAATTGAATCAAGGGCAAACAGAAAATCTGATGGGCATAGTAGAGCACCTGCTCAGGCTGCTCTTCTTATTCTGGAAACAGCTGCATTTCTACATCATGAGAATATCATTGAGGCTGCCTTTAGAAAGGCTGCTGTTGAGTTCTCCAAAGAACTGCATGGTGGACTAAAAGAAGAAGTTGAAACATGTATGAATAAATTGCTTCAGCTTGAAGAAGATCAGTCTTGGAATCAATTCTTCTTTCATGAAGGAATTAGGGTTCTTACGTCGTTTTCTTTAATCAAGCAGCACTCAACCTCTGCAGGAACTTATGCCATTCACCCATTGATGCATCAATGGAGTAGAGATAGAATGTCAATATCTCAAAAGAAGTGCATGATGCAAGTATCAAAATTGATCCTTGTGAACTGTATTACAAAGGAGATGACAGCTGAGAACATTGCATTCAACAGGCTTCTTGTGCCACACATCAAAGCCAATTACCAGTCACAGGAGGAAAACAGCTTTGAAAAAGTGTTTGATGATGATGAATATTCCAGGTTCAGTTATGTATTGGATAAAAATGGAATGTGGAAAGATGCAGAGTATTTTCAATACAAAATTGTAGAAATGAGAATAAAGAAGCAGGGGCCAGAACATCCAAATACCTTGACCAGCATGAGTAATCTTGCATTGACATATTCAAATCAAGGAAAATATGAGGAGGCTGGGAAGCTGCAGCTGAAAGTCCTGGATCTGGATCAAAGAGTACTGGGGCCAGAACATCCAGATACCTTGGGTAGCATGAATAATCTTGCATTAACATATTCAGATCAAGGAAAATATGAGGAGGCTGGGGAGCTGCAGCTGAAAGTCCTGGATCTGCATAACAGAGTACTGGGGCCAGAACATCCAGATACCTTGACCAGCATGAATAATCTTGCATTGACATATTTACATCAAGGAAAATATGGGGAGGCTGGGGAGCTGCAGCTGAAAGTCCTGGATCTTTGTAACAGAATACTGGGGCCAGAACATCCAAATACCTTGGCCAGCATGAATAATCTTGCATTGACATATTCAAATCAAGGAAAATATGAGGAGGCTGAGGAGCTGCACCTGAAAGTCCTGGATCTACGTAAAAGAGTACTGGGGCCAGAACATCCAGCTACTTTAGTCAGCATGAGTAATCTTGCAGCAACACATTCAAAGCAAGGAAAATATGAGGAAGCTGCACAGCTGCAGCTGAAAACTCCTGCATCAGCATAATTGGGTTATAGCAGCATGGTATCACTTACCTACTTCTTGTATGACAGTTGCATTGTATTTACATTTGTTTGTCATTTTGTATGTTGTTACTTCTTAACAAATCAACTCTACTTGAAACTACAACATGTATATTTTATGTGGATGCTCCTGTTCCAGGGTTACAGGATCCTCTACACATGACTCTCATCTTTAAACCATGTCTCCCACTCCCTTGCCCCCTCCACCGTCTGGCAAGCCTGGACTTGTCAGGAAGTCAAGAACAATGAAAGCATTTTCAATGGTGTGGGCACCAGAAGTTCCTGAGTGCTTACTGTACTATTTCCTCCAATTCCGCAGGGTCTGTGACACATTACCACCTAGCCAAAATTTTGGTTTCAGCACTTGCAGGATTTGGCCGTGACAAGGCCAAAAATTTGGCAGTATGGCTCAGGCTGCAAAATTTTACTATGTTGAGACTGTTACCATGAAACAGTTTCAACAGAGGTAAAATTTACCCATTACAAGTGTTACATTTTGGCGATTTTGAAGGCTGTGTGACATGTTACTGACAAATCCAATAGATGAGGACCAGGTGCAGGGGTGCTGAGAAATGCATCAGGAAGCTGTATTGTAGTCCTACTTGCAGCTGCAGCAGTCTGAGATGGAAGCGATATGGCTGTGTTGCTAAGCAGAGATGGTGTAGGTGGAACAGATGAACCTGGGCCATGTAACAGGGCCCGTGGTGCCTGGAAAGAAGGACCTTCATGTCTTGAAGGTGTTCCAGAGACCATCTAAGAGTAGATAAGTAAAGGAGAAGTAATATAGAATAGCAAACTTACCATTTTTCCAAATTCCACAGAAACAGGTGATGAATCCTGTTTCCGGGGTCGTCCCCTCAGTCTCTTTGCCGCCTGAGCTGCATCCTCACCCAACGATGCCCTCAGCCTCTGCTTATACCCAGTTCTGGGAGGCTGTCTGAGTCTTGGACACAGGCCGTATGTCACTGGCTTTGATTTCATGCTCCCTTTCGGGCTACCGTGTTTACGTTTGGGAGAAGGCAGTGTTGTAGTTGAGGTTGGGGGGTGCGTAGTGGGTGCATGTAAGGTGGTTGATGAGCTGGCAGGGGAAATGGACACCTCGTGATGTCCAAGATGGGCTGTTTGAGGTGCATGTGAAGTGAACGATGGGCTGTTTGAGGTGCATGTGAAGCGAATGATGGGCTGGTGGCTGAAAGAGGGCTTGGATAAGCTGTAGATAGTGTGTGGGAAGTGGAAGGTGAGCCAGTGGGTACGGTGTTTGCTGCTGAACGTGTGCGATGGTTGGTAGGGGAGGTTGGAATGGTCAGTGGGACCAAAGATGCGGGAGATCCACGATAATCTATGATTTGATTGGAGGAACGTGAGTATGTATGTTTCATAGATCAGATAGCTTACGCACCTGGGGGGTTTCCAAAGCTATTCTCCATAAGCAGCATGAATTCTTGTGCAAACAGTGATCTGTTCAATGTCGGTTGCATCAGCAATGGCGCGAGGAAAGAGATATCTGGGGACTTACATGCCTTGTGAGTTCCCGGGTGCTTCCAAATAAGTTGGAGAATGTCCCCCCACTTTTTCGACGTGTACTGATTCAAAATCTGAGTCCGTTGTGGTTGAGCAAGACAATAGCAACAATAGTCCAAGTAACATGCTATCTCTCAGAAGTGATCAGGTGATGATTACATAATATATTTTTCAGACTCAGTATCCATATCCACTATTCTCCACAGGCATGTCATCCAGCCAATAAGATAACTTTAGCGTCCTATGAAATGAGGGAAAGGAAGAGGAATATTAAGATGCAAGAAATCCACAGACATGGATAACTTGTTTTTGCCTAGGACTTGCCCAGCTCACTCAATTCGGATTTTTAGTTAGTAATGTAGTAATAATAATATCCGAGGAGGTGGGCAAGACCTGAGTGTCTGAAGAGCTCGATTGCGTGTAGTAACCAACCAGCTATACCAACCAGAGTGTAAGCTCACAACGAGCAGGTTGGTTCAGAGGCAAGATGAACTACCCAAATCGAGTGGCACTCTGGAGAAATTTTTTTGCAAGTATAAATACAAAGTAGATGGGTTACAGAAAGAGGTTCACGATGAGAAGCCTCAATACAATAGATAATGTAAGTCAGACAGAATGAGCAAGTTACAGAGAGAGATTTCCATCGGACGCGACAATAAGTGCAGACGGAATTTTGTTTTTAATTCGAAAGAGTTCGAATATGGCAGCCAATGAATCAATGTGGGACTTGTTATATGCCTTTGAGGTGCTCATTGGTAGAATTTCTTCCATACGGCGCCAATAAAGCAGGAAAGCAAGAGAAGTCCAGCCGCCTGTAGTTGCGACAATCTCTGGTGGCATGCCGGCGAGGAGAAGTTCAACGGTGCCTCCTATACGAAAACTATGACCAAGGATATGTGCAAGCATAGCCGATGACCAGATATGGTTGCAAAAATTGAGGAATTCATGCTTGAGGAGCATCTTGGATTGAGAAGAGGCAGTTTTATAGGCGAAGAGAGGGGTGGATTGATCAGAGGACGAGTTCACGTTGAGATGGTTCTTCAGAGCTGCAACAGGGCAGAGAATATCATTGCGCGCAGTAAGAATAACGGAGGCACCGAGTTCCTTTGTGGTTTTCGTCCAGGGAATATGGAAACTTGCAGAAGAGGAACCGTCACGCAACTTTCGAAACGTGATTCTAGAAAAAAATAAGAAAGATTAGAGAAAAGAGGAGATGGCGCACATGACGGAGCGAAGGACATTATATGTTTCGTCAAAAGCGGCAGCAGTGGTCACTGTGAGTTCGCCTAGTCGGCGACAGCCAAAGAAAGCGCATAGGGCGAGAGCCCATACAGCGGCATGGAGAGGAGTAGAGAGAGTAAGGGAACGGCGAAGGGTTAGTAAATGTTCAATAGAAACAGGAGCTCGAAGAGGACGTTTGTGTTTAGAGCCTTCTTTATTTGCTGAAATGCGAGCCAGCTGAACCCAATCGTCGTCGCCGAACCAAGGCACATGATTGACAGTGTGCCATGCGCAGATACCGGAGAGCCAGGAGCGGATAGTGTTCCCAGACTGCTTGCCTTTGTGTTCGCCAATGAAAGCGCAGAGGAGAGGATATGAAGCAGGCATTTGAGCTTCTTTGTCAATGCCCCATGCATCGCAGAATTGAGTAAACCGCAGTGTACCTGCGGCGTATGTGCTTTTGGTGTTTGGTGCATACGCACCACGGATGGACATCATCGCGCTTTCAACTAGTTGCGGTGGAAGGGAGGCAATTAGATGCTGTCTGTGACGAGCAGCATGTGGTGTATCCCAAACGAATAGTCGATCGGCAGCTGGGACATGAGGGCGTAGAGCGTTATGAGTAATCTGGCGTCCAGATTGAGCTTTTCTTGCCTTGATGGTACGAGATGAGGAGACGAGGATCCTTTGTTGAGAATCAAGTTGTTGTATTGGAATAGTTGATATTGGAGAAGATGTGTTAAGAGAAGAAGGTGGATTACCCGAAAGAGATGGGTTAAGAGGTGTAGCAACGGGAGTGGGAGTCTTGAAAGGATGGAGAAAGCTTTGGCGACATGTGGGGCACGGAGGAACAGACGATGAACCACCCACATTCGTCTCGACGACACGAGTCACTGGTTTGAAAGGATAATCTAACCTGGAAAGAGATGAAGGAGTCAGAATGACGAGAGAGTACAAGGAAGCTAACCTAGGCATGAAGGAAGCATGAACATAGCTCATCAGGGAGCTTAAAAGATGGGAAAATCTGCTTTCCAGCAGGTCCTGGTTCTCCGCGCGAGATAGGATCGGCTGGGTTAGCATGAGACTCAATGTAGATAGGTTTTATAATGATTGATCTGGCCATGAGAGCCAGGTGTGTGCGGCAGACAGCAAGATTCAGATGGATATTACCACTGCGGCCTTTATCAAGGGCGCCAATGGTACCTTGATTGTCAGAATGCACGAGCAAGTGTGCGCCACGAGTCCCTCTTGATTCTAGAAATAGAACCAGAAGTTCAATAGTGACGGTTTCGAGCCAGCAGATATCTCGGCCCTCAATTTTCCAGGAAGGCGAGAGCTGGAAGGCAGCCCATTCGTCACCGATGATAATACCGATACCCCACGATGTAGAGGCATCAACATATAGTCCGAGATCCGATAAAGGTCCAGCAGGATGAAGGGATTGAGAGACTCCAGGTAAGGTGAGCTTGGTGAGCCACCACTTGAGGTCAGTGATCAATGAGTGTGGAGGGTACTTTGTAAGAAATTCATCACTGTGGAATGCGGATGCGAAATTAGAGAGAGAAGGGAGGTGAGAGTGGCCGTCGAGGTAGACGAAAGCGACATGACAAAGGGATCCGTGTATCTTCTCCACATCACGCAAATGACAAGGTCGTCCTTCGAAATCTGTGAGGAATTGGAGGACGCGCTGGTGGAACTTGTTTCTCTTCCCATCCGGTAAGCTAACAAGCTTCTGGGGAATATCCCAGAGAAACCCGATGAAAGTCGTCACGAACGAGAAACGTTCATCGCCCTTTTCATCATGCCAGGGAATACCGAGAGAGGATACATGACGGAGCATCTCAGACTTGTCGTAATCATAGCGGAAAGTGCCGTCAACGAAGGGACCGGATTCTGAAGGGAATCGAAAAGCCTTCAGATCGTCTTCATACTTCGGTACTGGAAAGACTCCTTCGGCTCTCCAAATGTCGACAACTGCGTTGGCAATCATGCTGGCGTTACTGCTAGCGCAGGCAGCCCCAAACGGGTGCGCGTGATTAATAAAGAAATCATCCGAGGTCCCTTGGACAACAAGCCAAGGCTTATGGGAGGGGAGAACAGGACATGTACGGTGGAATTTCTTGATGTCGAGAGTACATGCCTGTGTACCAGGAGGGGCATGAGAGATCTACATGAGCAAGGATGTAAGCAAAATGTGCCAAGAGGATGATATGTAGAGGGAACGAGCATGAAATTATTAGTGTTTGAAAGTCCGGTTCGGTCCGGTTTTTTGATGCCCAGGGGCGTTAACCGTAACCATAACCGGTCTGCATTTTCCCCAGAAGTCAAAAGACCAGACCGGACCGCAAAAAGACCGCAGACCGCGGTTTTTTGCGGTCTATAGACCGGTTTCGGTCTGCATCGGTTTTAACTGGTTTATGACCGGTCTTTAGGCCAATATTTTAAGATTATGAATCGGTAAATTTATTAACATCTCTAATAGCTTCAAAACGAGCCCAAGAACGTTAAGTTCCGTTAGGAATTGGTGCTTCTATAAAATAAGTCTGGTACATCTATTATTCCCAAAAGTAATTTACATTTTAATTCATATCTCTCTCGTTTTTTTACCAAATCGTACGTTCTTGGGTGCGTTTTAAAGGGTATTTAAGGGGCTACAAAAGACCGGTCCAAACCGGTTAAGACCGGTTCACGTTAACCGGTTTTTTTGCGGTCTTTACATTTCAAAAATAAAAGACCGTAACCGCAGGTCCGGTCTTTTGTGGTCTTGGTCCGGTCTGGTTACGGTCTTTTTCCAGTCACGAGACCGGACTTCCAAACACTAGAAATTATATAGGTAACAAGCATAAACTACGACATGAATTATCGTGCATGAAATCATCATGCTCAGCGCATGGAAGATAATCATCGTGCATAACACACGGAAGATAATCATCATGCTCGACGCATGGGAGATGAATCATCATGCTGATAGCACAGAACAGAAAAGATGATAGATGATAATATAAGGACAACATGCCAGATAACTTGCATGAAGCAAAAATACCCAAAGAGCCACTGGGTGCAAGACCAGGGCTAAGAAAAAGGAAAACATCTCTACGCACGAAACACAAAAGAGATGTGTAATAAAGAGAAAGAAAGGGTGGGAAAGAGATGGAGAGGGCGGTGACTCACGATATCAGCGACTTTTGATGCAGTGTCAAAACGTGTAGGAAAGTCGTCCTTGTGGATGTGCGAATTGACAGACGCGTGGAATTTTGTTGTTTTGGAAAGATGTTGGCAGACTCGCAGCTTGTCCGGTACTCCTGGGTTTTGAGGTTGAACAGAGACGATAAGAGAGGAAGATTGAAAGGGACCACGTAAGAGTTTCTCAGTGACCTCCCGAGAGAAAGGGCCTGATAATCTGCCAGCGGAACGTTCTTTGCTCAACCAGTCGGAGACAGTGTCGGGATAGGATGAGGTGGAAGGATTGTTAGGCATGATGACGGTCTTGGAAAGCGGCGGCATGTGACCGATAGGGAAGCCAACACGCAAGTTACGTGGGAGAAGGGGATAGTTGTCGAGGAGGTGGTGCTTGCGCAATAGATATTCGAACCCGTCGGCATTGTAAGGGTGCAAAATCCTGTTGAATAGGAGGGATTCTTCAGGAGAGGTGTCAGATAAAGGGGGACGAGGAATGATTGAGGAAGAAAAATCTGAATATGAGAGAGGGAGTGAGAGTGACGCTTGGACAAACACGTTAGTTTGAGGGTCGCAAGCAGCAGATCCACGAGAAGGCGTTGTGATTCTTGCTCCCGCAGAAAGAGCAGACATGAATGCGCTCGTCTTTGTGGGAACAGGGATGGCCACGGTTGCCTCTGAGATTCCAGCTGATACATATGATGCGGTTGTCGGGGCTGAGCAGATTG